CCCCTCTAACTTTTGAACCATAAGTTTAGAAAATATGAAAAAATTCTGAAAAGTGGAACTTTGTAAGGACTTTCTAGGAAAATCATTTTAAACTTGGATGGCAACAACAGTACCCACTACCGGGAGCAGTTGCAGGAGCGCGCGGGCGAACATAATGAATACCCACCTTTAAACTCATAAGTGGGAACACTTATTGTGACGGACGGGAAACTACGGAACCCTACACTGAGCGTGGCCCGACATGCTCTTGGCCAGTTTTTCTAAGAATAAAAAAAGGAATCATATTTCATTCGTTTACTATTTCCTTAATTTATTTTCGTATTGTTTACGAATTCAAAAATATATTGTCAGAAAAAATAGAGCGGGATCAAAATACCCAAATGAGTGAGTTTGAAAGAGAAGTGATATTGTTCTGATCAAAGAATATAAAAAACAGATAGGTCTCTTCTGAGTACCGTCAATTCAAATTGTGTACATATAATTCTTGTTTTAGGGAAGGGTAAATAAATTATTTCGTTATTAATTTTAAGTTTAATTTATTTGTTTTGTAGCGTAACGAAGTATATACTTTCGTATATAATTGTTACAGCACTTTATTTGATAATAATAAAAATTTATATAAAATCAATTATATTTTTTTATTTTCCTACTTTTAATGCATTTTTACTACTTTATTACTTTTACTACGTGCACTCATGAGTGAATCGCGTTTTAGGCTTAAATCACGGTGTACGGTATAATGTCATATCTGATTAACTATTCTACTACACAAGACCACGCACTGTTGCAAATTACATTTGTCTCTTTTACGCTTGCGAAAGTTTAATCATGCCATCCTACTTAGACGTCTAATCGTAATGTAGTGTGCTGTTGCAATATTTAGTGATTTATGTGTGCGTTAAGACCGATTTACACTTGCACTGCGAGTTTAGTTACAGGGCAGTAGACAGTAAACGGTGAAGTGGGCAGTAGCGTTCAAACAATGTCTTCGTGGCGAATTTAGTTAAGGACATTAGTTCATAGAGTTCGTAGGAGTATAACGTTACAAGACTACGGAATTTTTCTGTTTTTCGTTTAAGATGGTTCTAAGATTACGTCAAGAATTAAATTATTCAGTCAGAGAAGTATTAATGGTTGTTGTTAAAGAAGTTTTTAAGAATTTTCATGAGTGCGGAATCTCGATCAGGTTTAATTTTACAATTTGAACTTCTACTATTATATAAACATTCGTGTTTTTAATACTCCTATACAAATTTATACGTGATTTCTTTCGTCCATTTTATCATCAAAACCCAATATAAAACGTATTCAATAAACAGTATCGTAAAAACTTTGTGGCAATTTTAATTATAAAAGTGCAATTGTACGTTTTGGCGCTCAACCGTTGCGTCCTGTCGTTTACACGAACGGCGAGTTTAGTTGCGGGTGGCGGGAGACGCGCGGGAGGGCAGCACTTCACACTTAACTCGCCGAAAAATAGCTCGGTCGGCTATCCCGTTCAACTTAATCGTTAACTTGCTACTTAACTCGCTTATTGCCGTTCAAACGTGGTTCAAACTTAATTCGACAGGGTCGCAAGTTAACTCGCTACTGTACTCGTTGAATTGTAAATAGGTCTTTAGTGTGCCGTTTTTGTAGATCGAACATTGTGTAGGTAACCTATCTACACCTTTTTACTTATAATATCATTGGGTTGAATGGTCTAAGACTATTTGTATATGAATTAAAAAATCGAACTTTTTGGCACAAGAAATCGATTCTTCGAATAATCGTTCTCAGATCGACCTGCCCACGAGAGAATATTATGAGATACTCTATGATAGTATGTTCCTTATAACTAGGGATGCTCAATGTTGCAGATACATCGATGATGATATCGATGTTGGTATCGGTAGCTTAACATCGATTTTCGATGTTTATCTTACTCAAAACATCGATGTTGGCCATTAAGGATGTTATTGCAAATGTACCTATTTAATAGGTTTTTAGGTCTATATTAATAGGTCTAACTTTATTAGATGAATAAAGAATTAGTAATATTGTTCATGGTTTATTATTAGTTAAATAAAAGAAATTAATAAAAAAATTAGATAATTTTTTTACAGGAGAGGGGGCAAACCATCAGATGAGCCGTATGCTAATGCGGCTCACCTAATGGTAAGTGATTACCGCCTCCCATGAACAACTGCAACACCAGGGGAATTGCAGATGCGTTGCCGGCCGTTTAAAAAGGAGTAGGCTCTTTTCTTGAAGATCCTTGAAGGTTGATTCCACAAGAAAGTTGTGCGAGAAAGAAAACTTCTTTTAAATCGCACGGTGGTGAACCGCCAGTTATCCAGATGGTATGGATGGTATCGCGAGTTTTGTCACGATGTGCGATGGTGAAATTGTGCAGCTGGAATTAATCCGAACCATTCCTCAGAGCACTCCCCGTGCTAGATGCGATAAAATACGCAAAGAGATGCGACACCTCTTCGCAGTGCTATTGAGTCAAGCCGATCGGAAAGAGCTCAGTCACCGACGATTCGAACAGCTCTGCGCTGGATGCGATCAAATGGAAGAAGCTGTCACTAGGGAATCCCAGCCAAGATATGGGAACAGCATTCCATGTGCGGCCAAACCTGCGCCTTGTAAAGTTACAGGCGGTGAGCCGGCATGAAATACTGTCCCGCTCTGCTGAGCACGCCAAGCTTTTTAGAGGCCAATTTGGCCTTCTCTTCCAAGTTACCACGAAACTGCACATCACTCGGTATGTCGACGCCGAAGATTTTACTACTGGCTGAAGCAACAAGGGAAGTGCCTTGAAACTGAGGAGATACGACGAAGGGTTTTTTTAGCGGTAAACGTGCAAACTTGTGTCTTCTGGGGATTTAACTAGACTAGATTTAGTCACGCCCAGTCCGAGACTTTGTTCAACAAAGTTTCGACTTCAGACACAAGTGTCCCGATACTCTGCGACATTTTCCCGAGAAATATAGGCACGGCCGGTATACAGATCATCACCAGTGCTGTCGTCTGCATAGCAATGAATGTTACCGGTTTGCAACATGTCATTGATATGCAGAAGAAACAGCGTTGGTGATAGCACGCAGCCTTGTGGAATATCAGCGTTAATGCGCTTGTAATCGGAGCGTGCACCGTCTACTACGACCTTGATACTCCGATCAGGAAGAAAACTGGTGATCCAGTTGCACAATTTTTTGGGAAGCCCATAGGAAGGAATCTTCGTAAGAAACGCTTTGTGCCAAACCCGATCGAAGGCCTTCGCTATGTCCAAACTAACGGCCAACGCCTCCCCTTTGGACTCTACTGTATCCGCCCATTTATGAGTTAGGTAACCCAGAAGATCACCAGCCGAGTAATCACAAAGGAAACTGTACTGGCGGTCACTAATCAGCTGGTGATCTTCAAGGTACTGCATGAGCTGGCTGTTAATAATGGATTCCATTATTTTAGAGAACAAGGAGGTGATGGCGATAGGCCTATAGTTGGACGGATCAGAGCGCTTACCGTTTTTAGGGATCGGGTGCACGAGGGCTGTCTTCCATGATTTCGGGACTACGCCGAAGGAGTAGGAGTACCGGTAAAGACGCGTTGAAACCGGTGCCAACTTTGAAACACACGTCTTCAGCACAATAGGAGGGACGCCATCCGGCCCACTCAACTTGAGAGGAGTGCTCTGCGCACTGAGCTTTGTGTAAACAGGACATCCTGCATGGAGCCCTCACTTCGCTGGATCGTTGGCGGTGTATTACCCCCGTCATCAACAGTCGAGTTGGACGCAAAGAGAGAGCCCAGCAGATCGGTTTTGCCCTTTGCGGCATGGTCCAGTGAGTCATCTTCTCTGTGCAGAGATGGGAGAGATGGCTGACAGAAGTTCCCTTGGACAGCCTTTCTCTCCTCTCCTTTTCTCGCCGATTCTGCCTATGTGCTCTGACTTTGCCTTGACAATGACACTTTTGAAGGACCTGGAGGCAGAATTGTACTTCTTTTTAAGGGCACTGGTATTTGCATCCTGAAACGTTGATGCGCGAGCCCAGGCCTGGTAGCTCTCCTGCTTATAACGTAGTGCAATTTTGCAGGAGCGACCAAACCAAGGCTGGGATCTGCCTCCGATAGGTACCACAGATGATGGAATAAAAAGATCCATTCCCTGTAGCGTATGTGTAGAACCACATCAGCGACAGAATCAGAAACAACGCTGGGATTATCCAGAATAACAAAACGAAAGCAGTGACAACTGTGATATTAAAGCTCACACTTGTCAGTTAAATTTGATATTTTTAGGTGATAGACGCGTTTAGGAATTCCGAATTATTAAAATGTTTAAATATTTAACAAGGGATGCAAGATTTAGTTGATATTGATTTTGCGGGTTCTCATTGTTTACAAGTTCTTATTTACCGATTTTGGGTTGATTGACATCGATGTTTCGAAGTTTGACATTCGATGTTAATTTCAATGTTAAAACATCGATGTTTCAAATGTTAACATCGATGATGCTCCAGCTCCACCCTACCTTGATCAAATCAAATATAGCATAGAGGAGCACCTCTTTCCCAAAGAGTATAGTAATATATACTCCTATGATATACTCTATCCTCTATATATGCTGAAAAAATATAGTTTGTGAATCAAATTGAATCAAATGAAGAAAAACGATCAGATTGGGTCAGATAGTTATTAATTAATTTTTCTAACTCTACGGAAGGCAGTCAAAGGGAAAAATGTTCCCGTCCTCACGTATCAAGAGCTGCCTTCCAGTCATGAATCCAGTGTTCAAAAGGCTACGGCCGCACAGGCCATTCAGACAAACTGCGTTCCACAACCAAAGCCAAACAAAGGTTTCGAGCACACAACTACGGAAGACGAAATGGATGAATTTACGAGCTATAATTACTCGTTGGGTGCCTTTAGGCAGTGTTATGTACGTTGGATGGTGTTACATACGAGCTAGTGTCAATTATGAAATTTCTAAAGTCGAAATAAAATTTTACGAAATGTTTCCATTCCGTATCACCAGCCGCCTCTGGGGAAGATTGGCGGCGTGTGAGCTTCCAACATCGATCAGGAACTTTGTTTATGGGACGTATGTGAAGATGTTTAACGTGAATTTGAACGATGCGGCAGTGACGGATTTAACGTACTATAAAAGTTTATCGGCCTTTTTCACACGTTCACTACGCGAAGGCGCTAGGTTTATTTCACCATCGATTTGTGTGTGTCCGTGCGACGGTGTCGTCCTGAATTGCGGACCAGCAGACACTGATAAAATCGAACAAGTTAAGGGAGTGACATACAGCTTAGAAGAATTCTTAGGTGAAAACAAATGGTCAAAATCCACCGATACCAACTATTACGACTCCTTGTTATTGGATAAAAAGAACATACTACATCAATGCATAATTTATCTGGCCCCAGGAGACTACCACAGATTTCACTCTCCATGCGATTGGACTTCGAAATTTCGAAGACATTTTTCCGGCAAACTCCTGTCCGTAAACCCATGGATGGCGCGGCTCATACCAGGGCTGTTCACTATGAACGAAAGAGCTGTGTATGTTGGTGAGTGGAAATATGGATTTTTTAGTATGACCGCTGTTGGTGCAACCAATGTGGGATCTATAGAAATTTATCATGATCCCCAGTTAAGAACAAACACTAAAGGTAAACGTAACAGAGTTGATGAACTCGTTACCGAGGTTTCTTATAAGAAAGGTGAACTATTTGGTCAATTTAACATGGGTAGTACAATAATCCTTCTTTTTGAGGCTCCAAAAGACTTTAAATTTGAATTTAAGTCTGGTGATAGAGTCATGGTTGGTCAAGCTTTAACAACTGTAGCTGCACACCATGCTAGATGACCTAGTTACAGTGATCTCATGCACGTAGTGCAATTAGGGCTAGTTTTCTACATGGTCTCCCTGTTACTGTAAGTATCAGAGGATAGCACGTACTCCTGGATTTAGCCTGTGTTATTTAAACAAAGTAGGTGTTGCTTTGTGTTACGTATGTTTATGAATTTATTTTGTAACATTTATTTGTTATTATCCATCATCATCATTTTTTCAAGCCCTTTACAAGTTTACTGCCTAACATAGGCCTCCCCAAGGAATGCCACAAAGCACGGTGCTGAGCCACCTGCATCCATCAACTTCCTGCATGTCTTACCAGGTCGTCACTCCATCTAGTGGCGAAATGCCCTGCACTTCACCTGCCGGTAGGAGGCTGCCACTCGAGAACCCTTTTTATGTTTGTATTTATCCAACAATAAGCTAAATATTTCCCTCAGTCTTCAATCCTATCTATATGATATGATAATCAATCAATCAATAGATATATATGATAATCCTTTCCAGTTGTATCAAAATTACTATTATTTATTTTCTAAAAATCACTTTATTTTTTAACTAGAAGCCAATATATCATATTTGTATGATAACTGTTTACATTATAAAACTGTTATGTAATAAATAATTTTAAATAAAAAATATATTTATTATTTAAACAGATATTAATTATGCATCAATAAAAAAATCTTAAAATATGTATTAGCATTCAATATATAAATATGATTAAATATAATTTACTTTCTTTTATTACATACTTATGTTTGTATGAACATAATAGTCATTTTGTATATTTTTCAGTGTGAACACTTAATATAGTAGAGTAGTAGTATTTTAACTATATTAAGCATATGAGATATAGAAATAGAACACATTATTAAATTATATTTTTTTTACATTTTTATTCATAAAAGATTATAAATAAATAAAACTCATAGAAAGTCACTTTTATGTTTATATTAGCACTGGTTCGGAAAGTACCTCAACCCTAGTAAGAACCAGCAAGAAACCTAGTAGAACTTTGATGACTTAGATTTTTTTGTTGTTAATATAAAACATAAATATTTGTTTATTTTGCTTAACAGTCATATTTGTTTATTTTGCTTAACCATCTTATAAAAAAGATAAGGAGGCATATAGACCGAAACTTAGCTTTTTTCTTCTGCTGTTAACCAATATCAAATGGATATTTTGTTCAATATTTGACTGTAAGTACTCGGGGGGTTTTCGCAATCGTCTTTTTCCCGGGGGGGGGAAACCTGGTGAAAAAATAAGTTTTGGGGGGATTCTCCGAGCGGGATGGTGTAACTTTACTTTTACTTTTACTCTGTGCAAACAACTAGACAGAAAAGGACAAGTAACTAGGTTTCTCGTTAATTTCAATAACTAACAATACGTTTGTACTGAGAAACATCCAACATATAATGTTTTGAAACAAATCGCATAAAATAAATCACACAACATGTTTTGTTGATGGTGGCGTTCGCACACGAAAACCTTGTAAAATTTTCAACAGATATTCAAACTTATCTTTCAACATGACAATATTTCTACAAATTTGTTTTCAAACATTTTGTTTCTTTAGTTATAAAGATATAAATATAGTTAAAATATTTAATGTACAATAAACTGTCAAACATATTTCACTACAACATGCTCTTTGACTATTGGCAAACACTTTTTGATACATTGAAATTGCATCAGTGCAAACTCAAGGTAATAATTATTATAACACACTTTATGTTTCAGTAACCATGCATACACAATGAGAGCAATTATTATTTGTTTTTATCATCGATATACTGTTCCATTTTGTACAATTTTATGTTATCATTGCCTCATGTAATGACTTGGTTCTTTTACTTGAGCCACAACTCCTGTTGACTTGACTCTTGGTTCCTGTTGCATGGTTGAGTCCAAGCGTTAAACTTTACGAGTTGGACAATTCTTGTTAATAACACAACGCATATGCTATTGCTATTTCACTCAACTCATATTAAGTTGAGTGAGATGTATGGCACTGGTTGTAACCTGTGGTCCACGTTGTAAAATAAGTATGTAGACTGTGGACAAAGTTAATTCAATGTTAATTTGGCTTGTTTACAATTTGATTTGAGTTACTCCAATCAAATAACTCAACTTGGACATCACTAGTTATCAACTTGTCAATAGTTCGTAAAAACATGTGTTAAAAATTCGAAAATCAAAAAATAAATTATTGTATGTGTGACAAAAATATTGTTCATAAGACAGAAATGTATTGTATAGATGACTTAATTACATCATGTAGAGCTTGTCTAAACTGAAATGACGCGCCCCACTACTTAATTAGTTGATTTCGATGTGTGAGTGTAAATATTAATAACGACGCTTCATCTGTGTTTGTGCGTCGACTGCTCAGCGAACTATGATCTGTATGCCTACGTGACGGTCGACTAGTCGCGTGATAAATCCGACAACGCTCTCCTTAGGGAGCAGCGTTGGGGCATTGTATGAAACAAAACGTCCGCTCTCTGCCACCTTCAGGCAATTATGACAAGTTGGACAAAAAATCCAAGAAAATCCGCTTCTTAGCAAATACGGTCTACAAAGAAATTGAAGTTAAATTATTTAATTATGATGGTATTTCTTCTATTTGTTAATTAATGGTTCAAAATATATTGTTTTTAATTTGTAATTATGTAGATTAATTAAACCAGATTGATATTCTTTCGAAATATTTATTTTACAAATTAGTATAATTACTATAATAATATGCATGTAAATTATGTAAAGTATCACTATTCACTCATCTCCATAGATTCACTTTCATCTGAATCAGAGTCATTAACAGAAATAATAAATTCAAAGTCCATGTCAAAATATTGCAAATACTGTTTTTCTGTGTCTTCAACATGCCGACATGCATTTGCCCACATAGTACTAACAATCATTTCGAGTCGTTCATTTATAAGTGACATAATGGATGTAAAATTTTGTGAAACATTTTTATTAGCCACGTAGTTTTTTAATATCCCCCATATATTTTCAATTGGATTTAGTTCCGGGTGATAAGGTGGTAGTCGTAGAATTTCAAACCCTTTTGATTGAATCAGTTCGTCAATAACGAACCTCTTGAATCTGTCCTTATTTTTTAAAATAAGATCGTACAGTTCAATTTTTTTCATTGATTCGTCAAACTGAATATTTTTTTCTGCAAGCCACGTTTGCATGAGTAAGAAGCGTTATCCACAACGATGACAGCCTTTACCGGGAGATTGGGCAGTAATTGTGTGGTGAGCCATTTCTTATAATTATCCAGATTCATGTTGTCGTGATAATCTCCACTTGTGTAGTTTGCTTTATACACCAAACTAGCATTTGGAACAAATCCTTCACATCCACCAGCGTGAACAATTATGACCCGAGTACCTTTCGACAACTTTTTTTGCACTGCTGATACTCCTTTGACTGGTTTCCAGCACATGTTTTGCAGATGTGTTGTATGAACATAACTTTCATCTGTGTATACGATATAGCGGCCCTCGTCACGATATTTTTTTAATTGCCTCAAATATTGAAAGCGTAACATTTGGATATCATGCTTTTCTACTAAAGCTTTACGGTTGTCATCTATTTTGGACCACTCGTAGCCCGATTCCTTCAAAATGATACGCAGAGTTTCTATACAACCGTTAAAACCAATTCTTTCTGTTAATACTTGTTTCAGCTTTCTTAACGTTGGTAATTCATTAAATTCTGTATGAAATGTCGCTATCGTTCTGCGAAGTATACCCATATCAAAATCATCCAGGTTAGACTTGGTACGCTTCCTTTTTGGTTTTGAGGGCGATCTAAAAATTTTTTGTGACGTATCATTTGATGTACTAGCTTGCTTCTCTTCTTTCAAAATTCGTGTAATCGTAGATTCACTAACACCAACGGCTTGAGCAGTTCGCCATCTAGCGTCAGATAGTTTTTCCACTCCATTTTCCGCTTCATATTTCATTCTGCGGTACACTTTCGCAGTAATTTCTTTTGCCTGTAAAATGTATGCATGTAAACCACCATAAAAACGATGTATGATTAAATAAGATTTTAAGCAATAACGTATTATTTTACTTACTTGACTCCGTAAATGTTTTTTGGTCGACATGCTGACGGTACTTTTACAATCGAACGACGCGTGCTCCTACGCTTGAGTCTCACCGACAACCGAATGACCAATTACAATGGCATTTGTATATGTATTGCGTCCATATTTTAAATTTGCTTGTGTGCGTTAATGCGATAGTGGGGCGCGTCATTTCAGCTTAGACGATCTATAGCAAAGTTTGGTTCTGTCTAGAATACTTTCTACCAGGGTACATCACCGCCTAAGTTATAAGAAAACATAGTGAATGTGATAATATTTATAAGCCACAGTAGAAACTAAATTAAATTTGAGACATACTAGGGAAAATTTAGAAGTGTTTGCATGAGAAGTTGTTTGAAGTACCATTCTCTTTATTGTTAAGCTTTGGCTGCAAGAGGGGTTAAGGGTGATATAAATATATATCCATATTAGGGTGGCGTAATTTTTTTTTACTATGGCATACTCACAAAAAACCTGTGTGATAGGCTCGATAAGCAAAAACTCAAATATTTTATGCTAGGTTTATATTTAGAGGTGACCTGAATAGAACAAAGTTGAAAAAAGTCTGAAACATGTCAGTGTTTGTTAATGCAAAACTTTATAAAAATCTTTAAAATTGTTCTTCAGTTGTTTCTGAACACAACCAATTATTAGTAAGCGTCAATTTGGGTCAAGGGTATAACCCCTATATATAACATCTGGGTAAGACTGTAAAAATGGACAGAATTATACATTTTCAAAATTCTGTTGTGTTGTTTGGCACCTGTAACAATTATAATACATAAAAGATGTTTAATATATTTCATTCTTTCATCCATAGGCAGCTTTTTACCACTGTGTTATTGCAAATTTAAAGAAAAAATAAATCTCCATACATTTTTCCTTCAACCCTAATATATGTTTGCGTGTCTATGTGTACATCACACCATCCTTTTAAGCCCCTTCCTGGACATACTTTTCACAAATGTATCAGCTGACATACATTTCTAAAAGACCATATAATTAATTTTTCACCGAATACGAATATTCGGCCAAACATTATTCGGCAGGACTACCTCGGCATCTAACCAATTTATGTCGAAACTTGCTACCTTAAAGCGCGCGAGATTAGTGCAGGACCCTTCCCCTCGTTACCCGCTACACCTGACATTTTATTGCATCTAGTACTGACCAAATTGCCTACACATGCTTGTGTTTTGTGAGAAAAAAAGTATTTCGTTGTGTTATTCTTAGTGAAAATTGATAAGTATATAATGAAAATGAGTAGCAGGAGATCTATTATTTGGACCTATTTTAGAGAAACTGATGACTGTAATGTAATGTTTCTTACAGTGCCTCAAAAACATAACACTTTACAAGTATATTTAACCCATAAATAAATATACTTTCAACAGTAAAATAATTATGAAAGACATGTCATTACTCAATTCGTACATTTCTATACAGTGGATACTTTGAGTACCACTTTAACGAATATTCGGTAAAGCTGCCGAATACCGAATATAAAACGAATATTCGGCCCATTCTAGTATTTATTATAAGCATGGAATATGTTCACTATAAATGTTTTTTATTCTTACACCACATATGTCTTACAAGCTGATACCCGCGACTTCGTCCGTGTTCTTAAAATTTATATTAAATGAACGCAATATTTTTTTTAGATAAGGGCCAAGTGTCTAAGCAATAAAACTTAGAAAGCCTAATTGAAATCTGACCAGTAGTTGTTCCGTGATGCACGCACAACTGCAAACCTCTATCATTTTATTTATATAGATGTACACAAGGAGTTTAATACCATATTGGTATGTAAATTGATTATGTTTTCTCAATAGTCTTCTGTCATATATTGTTAGCATATTTTATTTCTGAGTCATTTTTAATGCGAATAAATTAACTTGCTTTATTTAGTTGAGGGCCTTTCAATACCATAATAGCAAGCATGTAATTATCGTTTCTCTACATCCAATACATACATCCTTTCTCATCTGGACTCTTGATTTATGCAAGTAAAATTTCTGTAAGGCTTTGTCTCTAACTGCAACACATAAACAGTTATAAAATTGTTAACTATGTGCAGAGAGCAAATAAAATGGATATACTAGGAATTTATTCTTTTGTACCTTGTTTACTTTAGCTTGAGATTTTATGTAAACAAAATTGTGAGCTATCATTTTTGATTTCACTAGTAACTCACTGGGGATACCAGGTTTCTATATGTTAAAACGCTTCGGTTTTTTACGAACATTTAAAAAAAAACAATTTAAATATTTATGAACTTTTTAATTATTTTCATTTTGAGTCATCCTAAGTTGCAGAATGAATAGTTCGTAATATAAACTGTTTTTAGAGGCACAGGAGGATGTAATAAAACGGATTGTTACGGAGAACGAAAAATTTGTAAATCGAGCATCCCTTGAGCTAAAACTTTGTATGTGATATAAAGTTTAGGCAATAAGAGCCCAAGTTGTTTAACTGCAAAAACGAAAAGGTTACCCGAAATATCAGAAGCCTTGATTTATCTGATATTAACCTAAAATAAACAGAGTATAGAAGAATTATATAACTATTGTTTTCAACCGACTTCAATAAAGGAAGAGGTTCTCAATTTGACTATTTTTTTAGAACTTTTTTGCAGTTGGGCAACTTCTGTTTGTTGCAAACAGGATTTATTTTACAAAAATTACAACTTTTACTGGACCCAAACAATTTCTGTAATTGATAACATAAACTATGTAATTATAATAATTTAAAAGAATCTATTACGTTTTCACCCAATCACAAAGAAATTAAGGTTTCATCCAATGTCGTTACGTGAATGGGGTCTCGGCATTATACCACGTAATTTTTTTCCGTGGGAAACAGTGTAAAATTTCGAGGACATTGGGTTAAATAAAATATAATATGGCTAAATACTACACAATAATATTTATCATGGACGAGCTTCACAAATTATATAAAACTGATTAAGTAAATTATGTGAGTGAGGTGAGGGGGTGGAGCCATACATATCTCATGACACCTCACCAGGGAAATGGAGGGGGGGGGGGGTTCGTTACAAATCGCCATAATCAGCCTCACGTAAATAATGAAGGCCCCAAAAATGAGGCACCGACAGCAAGAGCCAGTGATAATAGACTTAAGAATGATACAAAATTAGTTTCTAATCATTATTTTGCATTTGCTTATTTTTTGTGCGTAGTATTAATTGAATGGTCTAAGTTATTAACATAATAATCGTAGATCATTTTCTCCTATCTACTCCTTTGTTATTGAGTAACCTCAAGCCAAGTTATGATTTGACCAAAGACCAGACATTGATTGTGACTAACCACAATAAGCTATTATATATAATAAATAGCCATAAATACGTAAATAGCCATATTATAAAAATTAAGCAAATCTGAAAGAAATTTATGATTTATTAATTGTATTTAAGAGTGAAGCCGTTTGTGACTTCTTTCTTTCCGAAAATATAATTCCTATTTAGTATATTATATTTTTTTTTAATTTTAGAAAAGGGCTTTGTCGCTGAAGCAATTATGACGTCCTGGTAGTTACAACAAAATTCTTAAAAAAGATAAATACGCTCAAATAAATTTATTAGTTACTTAATCTCTTATTTACTAACACAAAGTTTTTTGGCATCATCTGATAACGGGTCTGATAAAATGCTATTAATACTGCCAATCAATGACAAATGTAAAATACAATTTTGTCTTCCTATGGAGTTCTGGGCACATTCTATCAAAATGTGATAAACATCATCGATAACATTGCAAGTTGAACAGTTTGGTGAGGTAGTTTTTCGCATCATGTGTAAAAATTTATTGCATGTAATGTGCCCTGATCTGAGTCTTAAATACTATTGTTACTACTTACAAAGAATACTATTAACTAACTACTAATACTACTTGCAGTGTCGCGTCTACACATATCGGATCGTACGTTACCATATACCCTTCTCTTTTGCTCTTTCGTCAAAATATACCTTCCAGAGGTCATAACAATATTTTTTTAATAACCGGATATATATTATGACATTGGAATTTCACGCCTATGCTATGGTTTAGAAAGATAGTGTCTGTACTCTCATTCACTCTGTTATCAGTCTCCTGTTTTAATTGTACTCCTCCATTTTTTGATATTCGACTCATTTGTTCATCATCTATACAAACAGTGGCGGCGCAAGACCTAAACTTTATGTGGGCAAGATACATTTTGCGAGGCCCTCTGCCCGCGCAAGAAGACGGATTATATAAAATGAAAAACAAAACACTTGACATTATGAAATTTTTATTTTTACAAAATCATTAAGTATGAACACCAAACAATTTCAAACATAAATGAAGAAATATATATTCTGCTTTTTATCCTGCTGAATTGTTTAATTATAGCCTTATAATCCAGCTTGGATGCTATATCTGCCTCGATAGATAAAACTTTCAACGCTGAAAGTTTTCTGTAACTTTTGGAGAAGCTGTTTCACAAGTGTTACGAAGTTAGTTAAATTAGGGATTTCATTGTAATTCTTCATATATTCGTAAGGTTGAGTCACTAAAGTTAAGTCACTGCTTTCACCCACTCGCAGGTCTGTGTAAATCTTGACAGTTATTTTAATATTAGATGGTTTGGAATATTTTTAACTTGTTTAAATCATAAAAGAAATCAAAATTTTTATAATGTTGGTTTAAAGCCATAAATCTCAAATCCAAAATTTGTTATAATTGAACAATCATAGTGTTGAAAAAATCTGTTTGATACCGACTTTTAGGAGACTATATAGGTTAATCCTTGCCTTCATAACCCAACATCTTTTTCTTTTTGGCTACTCTTTTATTTTTAAAGTCTTTTGGCAGATCATAACAGTTTTTTTTTTTCAATAAACTGTTGAGCACCAGACAATTATTTTTCGAAACAAGTTTGTTGATATTCTTTAATCCAGTCACAAAATGTACGTAAAGGTTCTAGAGCTTTAATTTGTCTTCACCTATATTGACAACCCTACCAAAATAGGTAAC